AATAAAATATTGAGAAATAATTAAATGTTTTTAGTAAAATTTTGGTATAAGTGATCTACGGAGAGAGTTACAGAATTCGCCAAAAAAAATAAATAAACTAAATAATATATATAAACTAAATATAATATAAAATATAGATGTTTTAAATTACATAAATATTATATGTTTGATATGTATGACATTTCATGTAGTAATTATTCAACCAATCAGATCGCAGCTTTCTTATTAATTTGATTATTAGATTTGATCTTGAGATTCTGTGATCAGAAATGAATGATCTATACCTTATTAGAATTGTCTCAGTGAGCTGATTTGAATGGTGGTGGTTTTATTAAATTCTGTCTAGTGCTTCAAGAGTTATGATTATTTTTGTCAGTTAACAATACTTAGGTTTAAAAAAATATTCAACCTAAGAACCCAACTGATCTCCCTATTAGAGTTCATTAAGTAAAAATTGAAATATTGAAATAACTTGAAATATTTAGAACTGAGTTAATTATAAGATAATACATATTAAATTTATTACTATTTTACTTATTTTGAATATCTTGCATTAGAAATCTTGAATTAAAGAAAGACTATTTATATGATAGAATTTTACAGATTTCATCTAATAGCATCAGAATATATACAGTTATTAGTATTAAGAGTGTGGATGTTTTTGAAAGCAAACCAAAAATTAATTTAAAAAGAATATTTACATGATACCAGAATTGACTTGAAGTATACTGAACCATTGAACTTGCAAGAAAAAAAGAAGAAAAACACCAATTAAAAAAGTGACTGAAAAGTAGTTAATATTAAACTATGTTGGCAAGTAAATATGTTGAATTATTTCTTTAGCCAAATATGGTTGATTAAGAAATAACATCATGATTCTTTAAGAAATTGTAATAAGAATTATTAACAATCAAAAAACAGCAACAACATTCAGAAATCAAATCATCTAATTTTAGTAACTCTCTAATTAAACTGTTATTTAATTAGTAAAATAATTTATAAAAAGAAATAAAATAACTAAAAAAACAAAAAAAGAAAAGAAGATACCCAAATCTGACAATAAATCCAATCTAGATTAGGTAATTGGTATTCTGGCATTAGAAATTTGAAATGATGATAGAAGATTACAAATAGTTAAAATAATACTTGCAAAAAGATTATATCAATAACAATCTAGATAAGAAACAAAAAAGACAATTGGTTAACTACAATAATTATTTGTGATAAAGAATAGACTACTATATAGAAAAAACAAAAAACCTTAAGACCAACCATTAAAAGTAGTCCAGAAGCATGAAATCGATCTATTTTCTTGTTAATATATAATCACCTACTTGAAGAACATTTCAGAGCTAAAACAATGTTTAAAAAGATACAAAAACATATTATTGGCTGCAAGTATTCAAATACTGTATATTAGAAACTATATGTAGTTATGTAAAAATTGCTAGAAGAAGGAAAAAAACAAGTATATAGGACCTTTACAACTGTATTTAATTTAGTACAGCAAACAGATAATCATTAATAAAATCTATATTATGGTCATGCATCATGTGAACAGCCGTCGTGTTTTGTTGTAATAATCAATATTAATATGGAATTTAATACAAATATTGGACGACTCAATTTTAAAAAAATTAATTTGTTGAAGGGTAAAAGTATTAAGAACCAAGTTCTCATATATCATTTTGTCTAACCAATTAGCTGGGGGGTTTTTTTTAGGTCTTCTGTTCCTGGTTTTGCGCGATGACATCGTGCAGCTATCTAGTTTTTAAAAAAGGATACGTTTACAATTGCACGAAATAACGTGATCTAACTAATTTTTTTTTTTGCTCCATTACTTATGATCGCCACTGTGTGCACAGAATTATATATTTCGCTATTAAACCATACTCTGCGTACTTTGTACTCCGTTCCTGGTATAAATACGAAATTTCGTTCCTAGTGCATATTACATTCGTTATTTGGCAATTTATTTTTTTCAATGAAAGGATAATCTCTGGCACTTATTTCCAATTTATTATCTAAAGAGCCAACTTCTTATACATTGTTATGAACGATTAGCCGACTTATGGTCAATGTCTAGCCTGGACTATGTCTTAGGGATGAATTGAATCTATCACTTTTCTTATCGACCGACTCGACCAACAAAGATACAGACTGAGGGCTAAACTGTCATCAATCCGGCCATTGGTCTGAGGCCATATCACTAATAAACTAAATACAGATAAATTTCGAATCCTAGTGTTTTAATCAATCAATATAAAATTCTTAAATTTGATTAAAAATATTTTTTCAAAAAATAGAAATTTTAAAGAGAATTTTAAATGTTTTACACAAGTGATACAATATCCAAAGTATAATAACCTTTCAAGCAAGATCAAATAATTGGTTCTATTTTATTAACATTTTTTAATATCATAATGTTTTTTAGAAATTTGTACCTATCAAAAAATTTCTATCCGGCTATTAATTATCCAAATAATTTAGAATAAAAATATCTATTCGGGTATAATCTCTAATGTTAATACTATCACATTAATTATCTTAATTTTATTCTTATCTTATTTGTTTGTTTTTTATTAAAAAGATTGTATTTACAGAATTATTTCTGCGAATGCATAGTCTTAAATTTCAATTTTAAGCTTACATCTTAGTATCTATCATAAAATTTGAGACAAATCGTAACTATATGGATCTATATATTATTCAATTCAGTAGTGGCGATTCCTTAAATGATAATTGCAAGTTAAAAATTACGAATCCAAGATAAAAAATTCATTGTCAACTGATTATTTTTCTTTAGTATAGAGATATTGTAGATTCATTACGATCTTGATTTTTAGGGTTGTTAGTGGATTGTGTTGGGTTGGGCTGGGCTATTCCTCAACCCACTCCAAATTGAGTTGGGCTCACTCTGGAGCTACTCCAAATTGAGTTGGGCTCACTCTGGAGCTACTCCAAATTTACTTAGAGCTTCTCCAGTTTCACTCCAGTAAATCTTTAACTCGCTCCAACTTGGATTCACACCAGACCGCTTCGGAGTATGCGACTTAATTAACAACCCTATTGATTTTAATCAAACGCTAACGCATAGTAATGATTGTCCCACCCTAACCAATTGGCTAATGCTAAATGATTTTAAAAATCTATCGATATGAAAAATTCTATTTTAAAATGTGTGTACGCAATCAATAATTTTAGGTTCTTTAAAATCCGTCGATATAAAAAATTCTATAGAAAATATAGAATCTAGAAAACTTGATTTTTTAATAAAGACTGAATGAATCCTTATTTTCTGAAGTATTAGGTAGATATTTAGCAAAGAAATTAATTATGTTTGAATTCTTTTTTAATTTCGCAGGATTTTGTGCTTCAGCCAAACATTTGCGTACGAAACAATCTTGTGGTTCTTGTTTAATTTCTGTAAGAGAATCGATCAAAAATTTTCCAATATCATCTAATCGACTTTCAAAAAACTGGAATATATCAAAAATAATGCTATAGTTTAGTTGAAATCCTAAATCAATTAATTCAGTAAGTTGCTCCTTAACAGAGTTGACGTCGGGCATAATCCATCTAGAAGGTTGTGCAGATGGGAAAAGAATTAAAAGTGCGCCTTTTATTACAAAATCATTAATATCTTCACAGATTTCATGGTAACCGATTTTTTTCCATAGTTGCACTAGGTCTTTATGGATTAAGATTGCCCTCGAAATTATTTTTAGGCAATCATCGTTTTCATATCCATCTTTTGGTAAATACCCTTCTGATGAATAAAGCTTTAAGTCGAATTTTCGCGGCGGAAATGGTGTAAATTTCATGTGTAATATTAGGTTTTTGATTTCTTCGATATTTCCTTCTAAAATTGTAGATGCGTCGTTAATTGGATAAGAACTTCCGGATAAGCGACAAAAAAGTTCCATATCATTTCCTTTTAAGTGCCAATCGCCGTCAAATAATTTAGAAGCTTCTTCTAATAAAAATATATAAACAAAAATCGGCAAATTACTAGCCCAAGGAATTGTGATTTGTTGCAAAGCTCTTATTCTTTCTACATCGGTTTGTCCTAAACTGTGAGTGATTTTTAATTCGATAAGTTTTGGGTCATAGCTACCATAATGAATATGTAGACGTTGTGTAAAGTATCTTGAAAGGATGCCACCCTTAGAAATAATAGCGCGAGCAACTTCGACAGACATGAATGTAGGGCCTAATCTAACAGCATGAAAAAGGCAATGGGCTCTTCCAAATTGAAAAATAATCCATTCTGCCTTCGCTTGAGAATCTTTACATATTGAAGACCATCGCTTACAACTTACAGCTAGATCTATGGGAATTTTGATAAATTTAAAGGTATATATCATAACTTCATTAGGTAGTTCATTTTGAAAGTAATTTTTCATTGGAGATTTTTCGATCATCTATATAGTAGTATATAATAATAGATTTAGGTTTAGTTAGTCGTATAAATTGCACAGCATTACTATATACCAATACAGTGATACCACCCGAAAATACACATATAGAGTAATTCGAGAAACTATGCTAAAATATATTGTTAAAAAGTGGTTATTTACGGGTGTTCCACAGTCAGACAAGTAGGATATTTGAGTCGATAGATTTATTTTCTGGACTCTAGAAACAAAGCCCGGATTATGGATGCCGCAATACAGAAAACAACAAAAAGTAAATCCTTTGTTAAAATTTCCTTTTTTGAATTGCATCGGCATTAAATCCCGGAATGTTTTTACCTATAAGAAATTTTCCGCGCAAATGTAATTGACCGATTATCATGTGGCGTGACAAGCACAACATATAATAATTTCCACAAAATATTTCTCAACAGAATCTAGTAGGTACGCATTACAAAAGAAAACATATTTGATATATTTGATGTATAATTAGCATCATTTTTACGATCTAATTTCAAAACGAGGTTCAAAATATAACATGAGTGAAATTATTATGTGGAATATTTTTGTATTCTTTGCAAATTTTGCAATAAAGTTGTGCTTGCATTTCTAATGTCATTACGGTCAGTTAACAGCGGGCCAAAAATGATATAATGATTTTTATATAATATGATCACATTTTGCGGACAGATTTCTTTTATGAAGTATGTTTGAAAACCATTTACCATAGATTCATCGAGTGTTTTTGCTACTTTATACGAAAACGGTATATAAAATTTTGACTCAAATAAAATTGGTATTTAGGACTGTGTAGAACTTTTTCATAAAGCACTAACATCAATTTATAACCAGTTTTTTAATATATACGTGTAAAACACCATTAGAATCTAGAATAATACTTTATACGCCGCAAACAAATTATTGACTGTTTTGTGCGGCTTCTGTCTACATTTATAGCTATTTGTATTGTTTTATTACACTTTTGTTTTACATTTTAGGCAACAACATTCATAGTATGGGAACAATTTAAAATAGTTTGAGGGCACAAAGATTACTGGAAAACTTTTTTTAAATTCTCTGAATGTATCTTTGCAATCTCTGGTCACAAGGGGGCACATTTCGCATTATACCGATGAATAAATGCCATACTTACACTCTGCTTTTTCATTTATTTTATTTTCCTTTTTTTGAAAATAAACGTACAATACTTTAATTTAAAATTTATTTAGCTTAAAGAATTCCATTTAACAATATGAGGTGTTTCACATTAAAAGGCCATTTTGCAATTTTTGAAAATTGAGTTTTATTTGATTCTTGTAAATTTTACATGACTAACATTTATAATTATAAATGAAAGACGATTTGCATAATAAAAAATGGAGACAATGTAAAAGAAAAATTACACGAGGCTGTCTAAGGCCAAGCACATCATGAGATTACCCGATTGTTAAAATCGTGAAATTTGTTTAATCCCGGATCAGTCCGAAAATCAAACCAAATTAAGCTCAATTATTTATATTGCAAAATAGGCCTTTTTAACCTTTTTAAACGATGACTAGTTTAGGTAGATTGTTATAATAAATTAACAAGACCTCACATATTATTGGAAATTTGATAATTATAATGTAAACATACATAATAGAGATTTAAAACCCAAAGCAGTCCACCTTTTTTTAAAAAAATTCATTGTTCTTAATGTCCCGAAAACGGTACCCGAATTGGAACTGCGGGGATTTTTAATATTCCGTCGTCAAGTAATTGAATAATTACGTCTCATTCTATCGTTATCCAATTGCTTGACGCGGTCCAATTCGAGTACCCATTTTCGGGACACTAATTATTCTATATTGCTTTGTTATAAAATTACTGCTCACTCATTTTTATAATCAATTCTTCAATTGTTACATCTTTCAAAATGAACCAGTATATTTAGCTAGGGACACGAATGCAATTTCGGCAGACAAGTAATAGTTATGGTGGCAACAAGTGTCGTGTAATGTGATTCACAGGCAAATATTTACCAATCAAAATTTAGTAGATCTAATGTAATGTGAAAATTACGATCATAAACTCCGGATTTTATAACACTAAAAAGGATACATAATGGAGTTTAATCAAATAAAGGTTTTAAAAAGAATTTACCACATAAATAATCCGATTATATTACATACCCAGATTCTTTACTAAAAAATAAGTAAGGGTATTATGAAGATAATAGATAATTCCCCAAAAATATGGTAATACAATTGACAACTGCGAAAAAAATTTTTCATCTAAAAAATGTAAGCATGTAATAAATATAAAATAAATTGTAAGCTCTGAAGTGGGTCCTCCAGACAATCCAAGTTCAATCAAACAAGCCGGATAACATTCATAGGCAGAGGTTTGTCTGATTGGCTAATATGTTTACTTGTAAAATTCGATTTCTTGGATTTATTTGTATTGAATATATATGTTTAAATTACAAGATCCATACTTTATCAGTTAATAATCTATTTTAGTAATTAAGTATTATTGTTATTTATTTATTTATTCATTCATGTATTTAATATAATTATGCGAGTTTAGTCTTTGCCGTTCAGGTGTTTTCTATCATAATATCACAGGTGTACACAAATGTCATATACTAATATGTGTATATAGATTCACCTCATTTCATCAATGGCCATCTTACTGGCGTTTAATTCCAAGTTTAAATGAGGATATCCGGGTCGGCAGCTTTACTTATGATTGGGCCGTGACTTCATTAGCTTTACCAGGAACGGAGTTTGTACAACGTACAACGTACAACGTAGTGTATTATTATGCGTTGACTATTTTTCCCACTTGCGTAATACAGACTAACTGTCGATATAACAAATAATATCGATTTTTAGTTGATCATTTGAG